AGAACCACAAACCTTTCACAATAAAAAATTAAATAATATATACATTCAAAACAAAACAAAACAAAACTGTACATATCTCCAGTGTTCTAGTGTAATGGTTTTTAAAAGCCTTAAAAAGGGTAAAAACAGAGCAGTCCACTTCTGGGTAAAAGACGTTTTAAGGCCACTTAGGGAATTCTTTTTTTTGCTTTTAAAAAACGTAATTAAAAACGGTTAAAAGACGCCGGCGCTCCGGTGAGCTCCCGCCCCAGGCGCCTCACTCCCGCGGCCCGCGGCCCACCATGGCACTCAGGATGTCCATGAGGCTGTCCAGCCCGCGCAGGTAGCCGTCCTCCCGGTTGCCCTCCTGCCAGGGCGTGCGGTGGTCCAGCGTCTGCGGCGGGGGCAGCCGGACCGTCTTGCCGAAGTCGATCATCCACACGCGGGCCCGCCCCGAGCCGTCGTGCACGAACAGCAGCGAGCTGCCCACCACCTGGCGCGGGACACGGGCAGTCAGACGAGCCATTCCCAGCACACAACACAGGAGGCAGAAACGCAGCGATAGCGGTTTCTACAAGAACGAATCATCACTTTGTGTTGAGAAATGGGGTTCGCTAGTGTGAGAGTTAACTACACACTGAAACATCACCCCCAAAGTATTATCCTCACTTTACAGGTATCACTGCTGAGGCACGAGGGACTTACGAAGCACTGCCAGCTGAGGGCCTTGAGGAGGCCAGGCGTTGTCCAGACAGAAGCGTGTGGGTAACTGGGACGGACACAGACACACAGACACACAGACACACAGACACACAGACACACAGACACACAGACACACAGACACACAGACACACAGACACACAGACACACCAGAGGAGCCCAGCGGGGCAGACTGACGACACCCTGCGCTTACCTCGTGGCATCTGAAGAACTCCGACTTCTGCAGCGCCAGCTGGAGCTCCTTCAGCTGCTCCAAGTAGTTTTCCTAAGAGGGAGAGACCAAAGACGAGGCTGAGCACCCGAGCCCTGGAGCAGGAAGGGCCACACGGCGCCCGTCCCTCACGAGCTCCGGTGCCGGTTCCCGGCCATTTCTCGTTCTTTGCTCTTACTTTCGTTTTTCTTTTCCGTTACCCAAACCCCCTCCTCTTGTCCCGGGAAACACTCACCAGGACTTGGGTGCTCCTGTCCACGAAGTCCTCCAGCGCCTGCACGACCTGCTGCCTGTCCCTGGTCTTCTTGAAGCTCGTGTTACACGTGCCGTCCGCTTTCTGCAACCGGAGAGTCAGGGGAAGAGCCGTTAACTCGAGCCCGGGTGCGAGCGCGAGTGTAGCTGTTTTAGTGGCATGAGACTGTGTCCAGCCATCTTCTCACTAGTCTGTTTCCTACCCAGCGGGAGGAGTTTCAAAATTGTTTTACTCCTGACCAACGAAGTCCTAAAGACAATGGTCCAGAAGCACGCGGGGGAATTAAAACAGTGTTACGGTAAGGCTGGGGTCAGGCTGTGGGTGGGGTGTCCGGCACAGGCTCTGCCCACCTTGATGCCCTCGATGCGGAAGCCCAGGGTGGCAGTGGAGCTGAGCGTCTCCCTCCACTGCATGTATCGGGGCTTGAGGACGGCCTGCTGGGCGTGCTCCTCGGGGGTGGGCGCGTTGGGGTCCACTGCCACCATCTTCTCGTACATGTCCCGCCTCAGCTTGGGCTTCTCGCGAGCCTTGACCAGCTCCTCCTCCAGGTAGGTCCTGCGCAGAAGGAGACAGCGGGGCCTCAAGCGTGAGCATGCTCTCCCATGACACCCCCGGTGAGCGCTGCATTATACCGAGCTGTTCCACTCCCTGGCCACTAGGTGGCGCCGGAAGACCTTCCAGCATAGAGCAGGGAAAAGACCGGGCTGAGCATAAATGAAGTCAAGGAGCCGGGTGCTCACCTGGTACCCATCTTGCAGTCCATGATGGAGGGGGAGTCGAACTCCGCCAGCAGGTCCTCCATCTGGTTAAAGCACTCCCCATCCCTCTCCACCACGCCGTAGTAGCCGGGCACAAAGCGCCGCAGCTCGTCCTTCATCAGGTAGGTCAGGCACTGCTGCTCGCCTTCGCAGTACTTCTTCAGGATCTTCCCGTAGTCGCCCGCCTTGAAGTTCCCTGGGCCCGGAGGAGGAGCGGCACAGTCAAGACCTCCAGCCGGCTCTCCACTGCCCCCAGCCCCAGGCTCTTGTGTGTGCTGCTCTATAGACTGAGTGCACCTGCTCTCAGATTGTCCCACTCCAGCTGTTCTCACCCAGCCCCCCACCACAACACCCCCCGCCCCCCCCCCAGCGAGAGGGTCTCATACCTGCATGGCCAGCCAGCTGCACCCAGGGGTAGCGCTTCTTGAAGGACACGACGAAAGGCGACCAGTGCACCACGGTCTTCAGTTTCTTCCACGATTTGTTCTGTAGAGACAGAGGAGCACAGCGTTCACAACCAGTAGACGGGGGCCACGCCTTGGGAGGGCTCCGCTGCAGGTCACGGGACACAACCGCCCTGTCCCAGGTAGCACAGAGCATCCGTGAGCCCACAGCACCCCAGGAGCCTGGCCTGAACTCTGGAACAGGGCTCACCTGCATCGACAGCTGCCTCTGGTCCTACAGCACAATGTCAGTGCAGGGCACGCCCACTTCTGGGACTACACACTCCGCAACCCCCCGCCTGTACTTTCCACTGCTGGGCCCTATGCATTAGTCCGGGGGTGCAAACCGCCAAGCTGCCCGCGCAAAAAACCAGATGGAGACGGAAAAAAGGCTGCACTGCGGGATCCAGGATCGGCCAACGCGCTGCAAGTTTACTGGCCACGCTTGTCTCAAAACTTCAGGAATGTGGCTCTCCCACTGCTCTTTCACCCTGGCAGTAACGAGCCTTTAAATCGATCAATTCTCGGCTTCGTTACTGTAATGTAGTCAATCCTGTTTCAGCTGGTACAGGACCAGCCCTGGCAGGCAGAGGATGCCTGCTAAGCTCTGCAGTCACGTCGCGTCTCTCGGACGGAATGACAAGTGTTTTTTTGTGCGTTACTGAGCAGCGAGAGAAATTAAAGGGAAGGCTCTTCAAGTCAGGGCAAGGATTACAATCATTACAAGGAAGAGAAGTTGGCACCGGCGGGCTCCTTGTTGCTGTGTCACACAGACAACATCCTGATCCGACCGACGCCACCGGGCGACGATCAGCCTCCCTCCTTCAAGCCCGAGACTGGCCCGGAAAGACGGCCTCACCGTTACTCGCACCTGTCCCGGGACAGGAGACACTGAGCCGTGATGGAAGATTGGCACGCTCGGGGGTCCCAGTTCTCCTGAACCGAGGCAAACCGTGCCGGTTTAAACATTACCCACCCTGCCCGGACCCGGCTATCAGAGACAGCTCTGGGCGCGTGCCCACTGAGTCACAGTCCAAACTCCTGGAGTGACACGAGTCGGCACTCCCTCCTCCCGACACACCTAGACCATAACCTTAACAGCCGAGAGGAAGCCACCCGGCCCGCCTGCTAGTCAGCAGCTCAGCCGTCCAATTCACCGATTTTGGATCTGGTTGATCGAGTTCCAGAACACGTATACACACAGACCGCTGGGGATTTAGTGCACGCCAACATGGAGATAAAAGAAGGCGAAACACGCCAACCAGTGTTGGCAAAATGTCAGAAACCAAAGTTTGGGAAAAACTGAATTGGCTCACTGTTGTTTGAGCACAAAGTGCTTTTACTGCTGTCTTAATGGACTTTAAATCACAGGAGTCCTGAAAACACAGCTCAGTGTGCAAAGGGCACAGGCGATACACCGTGTGCACTTTAAAGAACTTCTTATTCTGTAAAGCTGAGACAAAGACACCCTTCCCCTGGGTGACAACAGAAAACAGAATCCCATAATGCTGTGATGCCAAGTCCATCCCAGCAGGCAGCAGCAGGAGAGCTCTGCTCGCTCACGATGAGTTGGCGGGGGGGGGGGAAGAGGAGAATGACCACACGGCCATTGCAGCTCAGTCACGAGGGTCAAACGGCCAGTGGGAGATGGGCCGTGACCCAGCTGATCAGGACGACGATGAAGATGATGACGAATACGTTTGTTTTTTTTCAGCCGTAACCTTGCACCTCGGGCCATGACGCAGACATGTCCTGCCAAGCGCGCCGAGCAAGTTCTGATCACAACGTACCGACAAGCCTGCCCTCCTCCCCCCTCCTTCTCCAGAAACAGACCCACCCACACCCTGACCCCAGCTGCGACACAACAGCTTTTACAAATGTCAAACATGAATAATTAAAAAAAAAAACTCATTGGGGTTTCATTTCTCCCACACCAGTTACCCACAGTTCTCATTTGGATCCAGCATCTGAAGAATTTCAGGAATCCCTGCAGGAACGTGCGTGTTTACAGCTCAGGCACAGAGCTGACGTCAAGCCCTGCCATTTCATCCCACTGGTGGCAAACATGGCTTCTGAATCTTCTCACAGCTACAGCTTGCAAGAGCCTTGAGAGCAACAGAGGCTTTGTTCTCCTCAATTCACAGGGGCATTGATCTCCATTAAACTTCCTGCTGCCCCCCCATCTCAGCAGCCAGAGGGATCACCGAATCTCCACGCAGAGAGAAGCCAAGCGTTTACCTGATCGGAGCAGCAAAACTGGAGGGACTTGGAGACAGGCAAGCAGCTGACTGAAGCCATGAACTGCCCCTTGTGGTCTTATCAGAGACAGAGCACCAGCGATTACTCACTGACACACTGCCAGCATGCAGCAGACATCAAGCAAGTCCCCTCCGCACAGCTGACCGGTACACTGGTAAAATGGTATCGAGAGGCTCTCTAGATCAGATCACTACTGCGAACCAACCCGAAGGGATCTGCTGCTTGGCCCTTCCACGGCCAATCACAGCAGCAAGGGATCCACATTCCTCGGTGTTCCACTGCCCTGCTCGCTTGCACACTCATGCTGGAGGAATGAGAGTCTGATACGGCGCAGTCTCGCACAGCTGACACTGGGATGATGCAAGAACTGCCAACACCTGGCAGCCGGAGCTCTCTCCGAAGGAGCAGGGGGGGAGACAGACACAGCCTCTCGGGCACAGCTGGTGCCCAGAGGGACACTTACTGATCCGCAGTCTTGAGTAACCCTCAGGACCAAACCCTCTCTCGCACAGGGCTCCACAGCAGCATGCCCTCTCAGACACGCAGCCCAGAGGACCCGCGACCTCAGCAGAGGCACAAAACAAGAAGAGGCCCATCTAGAAGTTAGTGGCTAACTGTTCACACAATCAGCTTCAATAAAACGGCTGAGGAGACTGTTCCATACTCCCACAACCCTTTGTGTAAAGAAGGGCCTCTTGTCGGTTTTAAATACAACTTCCACCTCGTTTCCTCTTTTGTCCTCTTGTTTGTGTGCCACAGCATCAGAAGCAGCCAGGTAGATGGAGCAACAAATACAAATTATTCAAATGAATGCGACGCCCTGCACAACACGTTTCACACGTGTAACGAGCGACACGGAGTCCTTGAAGCACGGAGGTGCAACAGAGCAGATTTCGGTCGCCCCCTCCCAACCAACAGCCAGGTCAGGAATCCTGCGCTCATGTGCCACACTGCTCTCTCCGGCCTCGTCCGGCTGCCGGGGCAGACGCGCCAGGAGACAGGGGATAGTCGGGGCAGGCCTGGGCCCCCCAGCCTCCCAATAGGGAAGAGAAACAGGGGTAACAGGACTCGAGCTCCTCATCTCTCTCGCCTGAATTCCCGAGACAAACAGAGGCATGTACTTCTGGTAAATGGGAACTTGTCCGACGGGTTTATCCAAGAAACTGGACAAAAAAAAAGAGAATTCGCAGAAATCACAGGGACACGACACGACACAGAGGCCAGCGCAGCAAAGCAGCACCATTTTTTTAAACCCCAGCACTGCGGCGAAGGCCTTTTCCGATGACCATCAACAAGCCTCTTGGCCAGACAGGCCTGTGAAAATCACGCGCGCCCAGAGATGCCCACTACACACAGAGAGCTACAATAACCATCCGCGATTACAATAGTATCAGGAAGGAGAAAGTAAAAATCTGCAAAATGATCCAACTGCACAGAAGCGGTGCAGGGAATCCTGACAGGGGTCAGGACGCTCTGGGGACTCGAGCAGCTGGACAGGCCTGGCGATGACCACAGGACCCCTGTCATTAACCAGCACTACAGAGCATCAGAGCCAACACACAAAGCTACGTCGACTGCATTCGCCCCTATCCCAGCAAGACGTGCCCCGAAGTCGTGGGAATAATCAGAGTCTGTTCCCATGTGTGTGGGGATCCTGGTGCCGTACAGGACAAGGAACGCCAGGAAAGGACAGGCAGCACCGGACGCTGCCCCTGGCTGAAGCATGGGAGCAAGCCTGGACAAGGTGCATCTCTCGAGACAAGTGATGGTCGCTGAAGCCAGCAACACCTGCAAGGGGACACTCCCTTTCTCCCTCCCTGGCCCTGTCCTGAGCAGGATGGCAGAGAGAGAGAGAGAGACGAAGGAGGAGCGAGGCCTTTCTCGTCTGCAGCAGGGGTGCCAGTCTGTTTCACAGTCAGCTGCGCACGAACCTCAAATACACGTTCCCAGCTAGAATGAAAGCAAGCGTTTCCGTCATACAGAAGCAGACGGCCGCATGGCTGAGAAATGAAACCTGCCGGGGGGCAGTATGTTGCTCTGAGCAGGCGGGGCGAGAGTGTGACCTGCGGAGCGGCTCCGGGTTCAGTCTGTGGCGGACTCGTGCTTTGCCCAGCCCTGCTAAAGGGAGGGGGTGGGCTGCCCTGCCTGTGTCCAGTAAGGTCGACGTTGGCAGGAACGACCCCTCACACTCACGTGTCGAGCGCTCCTTCACATTCCGCTGTCGGCAGACACAAGCCGTGTCCGGCTCCGACGTCTCCGATGTTTCTGCAAGCTAGTCCAGGAAAACGAGGCTCCAGCTGCAGCTCTGGCTCCGCTAGAGTGGATCTGAATTCTCTGTGCAGCAGAAGCAGCCTGATCTGTATCCCTTGGTCTGCCTCCAGGCTGTGCTACCCCCCCCGACACAGAGAAACTCCGCAGCAGCGCTCAGCCGAACAGAATGTTGAGCGAGGAGGAACCGAGCTCTGCCACGTGCACACAGCCCGTACTCTGGCCCAGTGCGCACAGTGCCTGCTCCTGACTGCCCTTTCGCAATCTCTGCTCACCACATCAAACTCCGTGCGCTGGCTAAAAGATCCCCGAACAAACGTAACACCGAAAAAATCTGGCTTGTGTTTAAAATAAAAAAAACTCAGCCTGCACGAAGGGGACGTCCCGACGCCGTCTGCCTGCCGTGGGGCTTTTTCTCAGCTTGCCCCAGCGCACGCCCCCACACGCTCACCCCCCCGCCCTGGAGAAAGTGCCGGCAGAGGAAAGAGCTGGAAGAAAACAACGCAGACCAATGCCGAAGGTGGAATCAGGTTGGGCAGGACAGGTGGACGGCTCTCCCTGCCACCCCAGGGGCACTGCGACTCCCGCCGAAATCACACCCCCACCCGCTCTGCAGCATAGCGCCCAGGCCACAGCGTACCCCTCAGGTGGGTTTTCACCCCCCCCCAGTGCTGGGCTTGGCTGCGTGCCGGGTGCTCTGTTATCCGAAGAGACACCGGCACGCCCTCCTGGATCCCGTTCAACTCGTTTCCTGCTGTGCTACAGTAAATAAGTGAGAAAACCAAGATGCACGCTCCGTACTCTTCAACCATACCCGAGCAGGAGCCGGAGCAACAGCCTCAGGACGGGAGGTGGTGGAAGGAGAAAGGACCTCACAAAGGGTTTTCACAGGGAGCTCTCTCCCTGTCTAGTTGTCTCATGAGGGACCCTATTATCACGGGCTTTGCCATCACCTGCACGCACTGTCACTAAGAAACGTGGATTGTAATTGTGGTCTGACTGACTGGTTTGTGCTCCACCTGTTCTTGGGCAGTGGTGTCTGAACACACCTCGGACGTGCACTCTGCCTGGGGCCCTCGATCACACACTGTGACGGATCTGCGTTTCTCTCTCTGGAGGCCCAGGGCCGGCGTCACCTGCTTCTGTCCACGCCTGGTGCGCGGGCGCCCTGTGGAGAGCGTGACACACGAGTTTCTAATTTCTCCATGTGATCAGGTCTGCTGCCCAACAGCCTGGCCCCCCCCAGAGGTCTGAGTTCACAGACAAGCCCAGAAAGATGCGCGATGCCACAGATTCCAAATGTTCTGTGTTGATAGGTAATTCACATCCAAAACCAGAAACACATTCCAAGCTTTGGCCTTTTGAGCAGAGTTGCATGTATGAACAATGATCAAGTATTAGGAAGTCTATTGGCTTCCCTCCATGTGGGGAACATGCAAACTCCACACAGTGTGATCAAAATTAACAGCTACTGTCCTCCGCAGATGAAGAGCACCGAGTTAGAAATGGACGACACTGCTGCTCAATGAGAGGTGGTTTCTCCGACTCAGCTACACCACCTCCACAACACATGCCTCTTGTCTCAGGACTCCCGAGCTGCGCCCTTAACACATTCAATAGTCCTGCCAACACTGTGACTCGGAACAAAGCTGGCTTTGCCCAGCTAAAGTGAAAGCGATGCACGGGGAGCAGACAGTTACTTCCACCCACCTGCAAGAACATTTCCCACCCCCTCTTTACTCTGCATTCAGAGCGGGAGGGGCAGAGCACCCCTCCCTGCGCCCCCCTCC